AGGATATATATATATATATATGTATATACACATACATCACTGTGCACCAAAGGTGGCTTAACATGTTACAACGGTCTACAAAATAAATTCTACCACTAGGGATAATTAACAAAATATAACTCTCCAACTCTTACCACCAAGTGACCTCCATCAGCTAACACCAGTCTATCATTGCTTTGCTCCAATACATTGTATGATCATCGCAGTTCAAATCATATGGAAACATGCAAGGGTAAGCTAGTGAAAATAAACAGCACATATATAGGAAAACAACTTACAACAATAACAACTTAACATCACTATCATCATCAACTAGTTTAACATACAACACACAACACACATCTCAACCCTACTTTCACAACACGTCAACACATACAACTCATATCATCACAATATCAACTCATTAACACATATGCGTAGTTACGCATTTCAACTCGAAAATCTCCTACAACACAAGTGAGCAGTCTAAGTGGTTAGGTTCTACCGAACCGATAACACAAAATCTTTTTGGGCTTGCTAGGTAAATAATAATTTTGGATAAAAATCCACAACATGATAATAGTTTCTCAGACTTTGTCACTTAAACAAGGAAGTATAATACTATGTCAGGATAGGACAGTTAGGTTTAGGCCTACCACGACACTAATTAGCTTAACTAAGCCACTTATGGGATTATCCTACTGACTATCCTCCAAATACTACAACCCTCCGATACTTGGTTAGGAACTAAGTTTTCAACTTCGTACTTTACTCGAATTGGTCACTTGTAATCGATATAGCTCGACCTGATGACCCCTACACCGTGGTTGCTTTATACATGTGTGCCTCGACCTTCCTACACACGGGACCAACTAAGTCTTAGAGGAGAATAACACATCATCCACTCCAAGGGACAACTTTCCAAGGAAGGTTTTTCATAAATTGGGCTCTCAGAGCATCACAACTATCTCAATCCACACAATGGAATGAACAACTTCGAAAACATCTTACCTAGTCCTAATGATCAACAACTCATCATCACAACACAACAACACAACTATCATCTCATCATTTCATTCAACTCACAACTCAAACATCATAGTCATCTAAAAAACTTAGATACCATCTCTACACATCTACACAATTAGGGTTTAACATGCAACTCTCAATTCACAACTATGTTTTCTCATCATACCACAACAGTAATCATTTTTTAACATTTTATCATTTATATCAGCACACAATATTTTCATCACATAATACAACTCATAATACATATTTACAACTTATCCATCATGCCATTGGAGTTATCCTTTACTCACTAAAAAGGTCATAAGTGGAGTTCTAGATCTTCTTTTTGGGTGATTCCAGCGCCATTAGAAATCTCAGATCCAAGACTACAACTTTTATGAAGATCCTAAGACCAAATTCGGTCATCTACCCTTGTCACTGCAGTGCTCAATTCAATGTTTTAGCTCAAACTCTCTGCCAGCTTTGTTTTCTCCTAGGTTGCAACGCCCAACTTGGACCTGCAGCTCCAAGTGTCTGCCAAATCAATCCCTCCTAGGGCTACAATGCCAAATCGGAGCTGCAGCTCCAGGTCTCGGCCTCTATGTTTTCTCTCACATCTGTAAAGTCAGTTCAGTGCTTTAGTGCGAAGTGCAAAGCTTTTTGTCCTTCCATGGCTTCCCACATGTTTTTCACCCAAAATCCATCAAAAACCTACATTCCAAGGAGTCCCGACACATGCAATTGCAAGAAAACAATCCTACTATCAACATGCAACTCAGAAAACATCACATACCCCACATGCAACAAGAATCTGATCCAAACCATCACATTTTCTCCCTTCCACTCAACACCTCACTTTCAACTCAAATGCTACACAAGTTAATCCCCATTCAGTCAACCCATCAAACAACACCACTTTCATGCTACAAGCAACAATCAATGATAAATTTCTAGCTCCCCTTACCTCAGGAAGGAAGAACGCGGAATTCAGATTGTCCAAGAAAGAAGGAGAAGAAGATAAATGAAAACAAAAATCTGATTTCGAAACTTTGAAACTTCCTTGTCTGCCTAATGCTCATCACCTTTGAGAATCTAAAAGAAAAATGAAAGATTTTAAGGGGAGAAAGGAGTAGAATGAAGAAAAGAGAGAAAGAAGTCTCGAATTTTACACACAACAATTATTTTAGAAGTTATTTTTCTTTCAAATATGATAAATAATATGGAAACTTAGAAACTACAAAACAAATATTTAAGTAAAGAGACATTTAAAAAAAAGTTATTTTTAAATAATCATTTATTATTTGACATTAGAAAAAAAGATAATGAAATTTAATAACGATTATATTCATATATATATATATATATATATATATATATATATATATACATTTATTGTTACGATCATCCTAAACACTAATACTTATATAAACAACAATACTTAGATAAGTCGTCATGTCATTCACTCCAACAGTAAATTACATGTAGCATCATTTCTTAATTTTAAGAAACTTAAATAAGTAACTAAATTAAAAAATACTTTAATACCATTAGATTTTCAAAAAAAAAAAAAAAACAACGACAAAATGATGATCACCCGTTTTATGGTACATGGCAGGGAGGTGGATGGTGCAATGACCTGAAGTCATGCTTGGAGAGAGCCAAAACTAGGAGGGGCTCTACTAGTTATATGAGCAAGTTCGAGGATTTCAATGGTATTTTAAGCAACAGTGCCACCCTTAATCCAGGTAACTTAATCAACTTTTGCTTTCTTTTATTTTTCTTCTTTCGTATGGCATTTATTATAACTTGAATTTAAAGGTCCCTTTTATAGTTTAGAAGCAAAATCTACTAAAACTTATAATTTTAATAAATTTCATATTATTATTATTATTATCATAAATTTTTGCGTTTGTCCGTGAATTTACTGTATCAGGATTTTACAACTGGAACCGTGTTAAGCTGAGATATTGTGATGGAGCTTCATTTACCGGAGACGCTGTGTTCACTGACAAGGTAATTTTAATTATGCCTCTCCCAAGCCCAACTGAGGAATTAAAAAATTATGGAGGGCAATGGGCATATTTTTCTATTCCTCTTCTATGTCCAAAATCTCCATGTTAAATCTTATTTATTCTGTTTAATTGTTAGCTAGATTAAATTTAACTTGGTTAATTTGAATATAGAAATAAATTGAGAAATAATAATAATAATATATGTTACTACTTATGTAAAGAAAAAACATTTGTTGTTAGACTAAGGCAAATAAAAAAGAGAAAACTATACTTATATTACATTATTGTTTATTCTTTTTAAATGTTATACTATAGAGTATATGAGTAATTTTTTGATTTAATAATTCCCCTCATTTTTACCCTAAGGAGAAAAAAAATATTTTTATGGCATCAAATGCGATTTATTTTTTCCTTAAAGGAAAAATGTTGTTATACTCGACTTTAAAAAATGTTTTCTACTTTTGTAAGTAATTATAAAATGTTTTTTCTACTATTTTCATGTTCCTGTATAATAAACCGTGAATACATTTTTACACAATATTAAATAAAATAAAATAACGAGATATATTTATAATCATTTAAAAAATCTAAAATCAAATAGGTACAATTCCTCCCACCCCTAATTTTTCTTTCACTCGTTCTAGTGTTCTACTACCAATCAAAAGTGTTCCTATAACCGGAAATATTAGGTAGAAAATTGCCATTAATATTATTAAAAAAAAAATTCTTACGAAATTCTTGTATATTTATTCTTTATTTCTTCAAATATGAAGAGTGAAATCAGCTTAGGTAATCATTTCTTCTAAAATAACAGTAAAATGAGTTGTGTATTCGGTTAATTAACTTTAGTTTTTCATCAACATTTTTCATGTGTCTATACCAAGTTTGGTGCACAAAATTAACTGTGTTTGTGAGTTGAACATCAGAACACAACACTTTATTTCAAAGGGCAAAAGATTTGGGATGCCATCATTCGCGATCTTCTACCACAAGGTTTGGGAAAGGCACAAAAGGTATAATTCGTTTCTATGAACTATAGAGTTTGCATGCTTTCATTTGTTCTTTAATTTCCGAAATTATATATTATATGATGTAAACAAAATTTATAACACAAATTATCTCTCGTGTGTAGGCTTTGCTTTCAGGTTGCTCAGCAGGAGGTTTAGCAACTTTTCACCATTGTGATGACTTTGCCAAGTATTTGCCAACAAATGCAACTGTTAAGTGCTTGAGTGATGCTGGTTTTTTTCTTGACGAGTATGTTTTGTATATCTTGATTCATTTCAACATAATCATAATCTCAAGCTTCATTTCTTCAAAATCTAAATATTAAATGTTTCTTTTTATCTTCCCTTTTGCAGAAGAGACATTAGTTTGAACTACACTTTTAGGTTGTTCTTCAAAAATGTAGTTCAATTGCAGGTAACTTTCCATAATTAATGGCGTCATATATATGTACATATATTTTAAAAATAACGCAAGTTAATGAATACTTAGTGCTTAACATTAACGTCTTGTGCAACAGGGAGCAGAGCAGAACCAGAATAAAAATTGTACCATGGCACTCAAGTCTCCAGAGTTGGTATGGTTTCTCATGAACTTACGTCATTAGCTGAGAAAAAATTGTGTAAGATTTTGACGTTTGTCATGTTTCCATGCAGTGCTTCTTTCCACAATATGCGTTGAGTTACATATCAACACCATATTTTATCTTGAACTCTGCCTATGATGTATTCCAAGTAATACTTTTTTGACATATTTTGATCCTAATATCCTATATTGCACATTATATCAATTCATATAATTATGAACAAAATTTATAATGTCAACAGTTCCATAATATATTAGTGCCACCCTCTGCTGACTTACGCGGATACTGGAACAGATGCAAGCTGAACCCTGCAGCGTGCACACCAGACCAAATTAATACATTGCAAGGTTTCTCTTTCAACTTTTCTGCCATCAACTCAACTCTCTGCGCACCAATTCTATCTCTTAAGAAGTTTTTTTAGTGTTTATAAACATGTTATATTTTGTTAAAGAAATATATAATTTACCTCACGTTTTCGAAACTCTTCACATAACTGATTTAATTTTCTTAATTCCCTTTATTCAGGTTTTAGGCTTGACATGCTTGCTGCTTTGAAACCGTTCAATACGAATTCAAGAACAGGAGGGATGTTCATAAATTCATGTTTTGCTCATTGCCAAAGTGAACTGCAAGAAACATGGTTTGCCGCTGATTCTCCAAGAATAAACAAGAAGGTACCAATCTTACTCATTGATAACGAGATATGATGATACACCTGTTTATAGTATATGGATTTTTAACTAATTTGTTAGGCCAACATTTATATTGTGCAACAAAGTAGTTGACTTCTAATGGCCAAATTATACCTAACATGTACATTGTTCAATAGGAAAAGGAATTTGAATTATAAAGGATAACTATATAAGATATTTGAACCGTGTGTCAATATCTTAGTATTTTGTTGTTTGATCCTTTGACCAAAATTTATGGTCTAGTTGGAAAGGAAGTGATCTTCGAACTTTCAGCATAATGAATTTTAGTCAGCGAATTTGTTAAACTACTCTATCTTTTACAGACTATTGCAGAAGCAGTTGGTGATTGGTATTTTAGTAGAAACACTAGCAAGGAAATAGATTGTGCATATCCATGTGATTCAACTTGCCATAATCTTATACCATAAGTTCAGGTAATGCCTTTTATAAATTTAGGAACAAGTTCTTTTGAATATTGACTTTTAAAACCTATTGACTGACCCAATTTGAAATGTTGCAGGTCACTTGGAAGATTAAACTGAACGTTTTTCCTTAACCTTCTTTGTTTCTCGTAGAAAAGCTCTTATAGTTCTCTTAAAAAGAATTAAGAGGGATTTTTCGTTGAAAACCATACACAATGAATGCTAGACAGACATAAAATTATTTGATAGGAACAAGAGAAAAGGTAAGAAAAAAACGTGTTTTGAACGATTTCAATTTTTTTTTTTCTTTTCTTATCTCTAAAAGGTCATCGATCAACTATGTTTGTATGCCTTAAAAAATTTCATATGTGAACTTGAAATGACATTGAATATAAATAAAATAATAGTAGAAATACGATGTAATAGGTCTATATTTGTAGTTCACATTTTTCACAATAAAAGGAATTATCATTTGATATGCTCTTCATATATATATATATAATTCAATTTTTGTATAATAAATTAAAAATATCCTTAAATGTAATTTTTAAAATAATCATTATATAAATCACCAATCTTATTGTACAAAATACTGTTATATTTTAATATAAAAAGATTCCTACGTTATTAGTATAATTTAATTGAATTCATATATAATTCTCTACATATTTATATTTGCTTGGTAAAAAAAGGTGTTATTAAAAGGAAAATGAATATTTTTTTTGATGAATATATATTAAAGAAAACATTTCAAGTGTCACGAAGAAATTAAATTTATCAAAATTAGGCAACTTTAATATTGGTAGAGATAGATAAAAATAGATAATTAAATTGATGAAGAGATGGATGCTCATTTAATTTCAGATTTTGCTAAAAAAAATTTGCCTCGAAGAAAATAACTTGATTAAAAAGGTTAACTTTTTATTTATTTATTTTTATTTTTTTTACGTTTTTAACATTGAAGCTTTAGATGGTAAAATGATTAAAATAATGTTTATATAGATAGAGGATAAATTAAATATTGTTTAAGTATATAATATTTATATGGCATGTGCTCCTTTAATGCATTCATGTTTGTTACATCATTTCATAATTCATTTATATAGATGGAGTTGGTTGGATCTAGGTTATACGAACATCTTGCTCCAGAACTTTAGATAATGATTAAGTAACGCTATAACTTTGAAAATTAAAGTTTTGTTAGAATAGGGATCTTCAAATAATTCAATAATTTTTTTTTTTAGTTTAAAATAATAGATATCAAGAAAAATGATTTATGTTTGGATGCATTTACCTAGAAAATAAGTTTGCTTTAAAAATTTAGTGTATTTGTTTTGTCACTTCTAGTTAAATTGAGAATTTGAAGCAAAATAAATTTTACCTTATACTAATAACCAAACATGACACACTCATACTCTTTTGTAATTACTTTAACAAAATTTCAAACTATTAAACAAAGAAAAATACTTAGGGTGTGTTTAGTTTCACTTTTACTTTTAATAAAAAATAAAAATTAAGACATAATTCACACACATTTTGTTAAAAGCAAAAATCAAAACACAAACATATTTTTTTGTCAACTCACCATTACTTGTGAACCACATCTAAGCGATGTCAACCCATTTTAAATTTTAATCCCGCACAAGTGGATAGTGGATTGCAATCAGGTTTGGTGACATATTTGTGTGTGTCAACTTATTATTTTTTTATCTATAAAATTTGAACAAGTGTAAATTACAGTTGGAACAGCAATTTGTTGATACTCCGTTCTTATTGTTTGTGATCCAAATATTACTCATGTATAGGGGTGGGCAAAATGAACTGAACTGAACTGAACTTATAAAAACTATACTAAACTTAAAAATAGTTCTCATGAACTGAACTAAACTAAATATTAGTTCAGACGAACTGAACTGAACTGTTTTTTATTCTATTAAACTGTATTGTACTGAACTATACTGAACTATAATATAAACTAAACTGAACTGCTCTACACCTTAATCTATTTTTGAACTGCACTATTTTTAAACTGAACTATTCATGAACTGCTTCTAAACTGTGCCTAAACCGTGCCACCAGTTTATGAACTGTTTATGAACTATACCAAAATCTGCTACTTTTACACACATGTCTTCCCCCAGAAGGAGATTCTCTGATTTCTCCTCTTACCCTTGCTCTCATCTCTTCATTATTTTCTGCAAGCTGTAAATATAATCACAAGAATTACATACCAGGAAGTAACCTATAAAAACAAATTAAAGAAACATATAGCTAAGGAATATCAGTTCATGCAATTAGTTAGAAAGCAGAATACCAGCTGTATACGAACTCATTTCTGAAATATTTGATCTTCATGAACAGTAATAAACTGGATAAATCGTTCCACTCTATCTAAGAAAACCTGCGACATATAAAGAAACCCACATTGCATCACTTATTGAAAACGAAGGAATTCCAGATTGATGAATTAAGTTATATTCAAAGCACAAAACAAGCAACTGAAGAAGTAAATAGGATTGCCGCTGAAGAAGTAAATAGGATTGCCGGAGTAGACTGCATCATGTCCAAGAACAAATTACAACCTTATAACACGCTAACAAATAAAAAAGATTATATAAATTAGTTTGATTACAGGAAGAAAAAAAGCAATAGCTGAACAAGGTTCCTAATAGGCAATAGCGTGCGTGCGTAACAAGAGTCCTTTTGGTGGAGTGGTGCTGGTGCAAAAAGAGGGGTGCGTAAGCGTAACAAGGTTCAGCTTCCTCGTGCGTGGTTTTATTTTTTAACGTGTAGTTAATTTTAGTTAACTAAACTATAATTTAAATAAGTTCAATTTTTTAAAACTGAATTAAAAAATAGTTTAGTTCAGTTTTATTTTAAATAGTTTTAGTTTTTTAATTTAAAATAATTCAGTTATTAATAGTTTTAGTTAAGTTAAGTTAATTTTGCCCAGCCCTACTCATGTAATGCGTGCTCCTAATCTAAGCAAGCCCTCAACCCCAACCCAACAGTTATGCACCGAGTCAGTTACACACAAGTTGGCCAACAAAATGGACCTACCATGATTAGCTCCCAGACTACAAAAGTCTACACCTCATCCTTTCTTTTTCTTGCCTCGTCTCTTCAAAGACCACACAGCTGTACAAGTCTACACTTAAAAAGTGGTTAATTACCCGAAATCCACAACTCACGCCACATTCCAAAACTTGCATTCACTAACCACTCCCAACACCCAAGTCATGTGATCATTGTGTTTTTTTAACAGTATTTATCCACTAAATATTACTGTATTAGGAAACTATTTTATATATTTTTGTTACATAAAAAAGTTGTGTACAAATTCTTGTTAAATGATGACATCAGTGAAACATCAATAATCCTAACACAATAAAGACGTCTAGCGAGACTAATTTTGCAGGTACTAGTTCAATGAAAGCAACAAAAAGTTAACCCTAACCATAGCTTGAAGATTCAATTACACCAAAAACCAAACCCCACGGCAGCAACATGGGTTGGTTGCCATCTTGGTCCATATTCTGTTACGTGGTGGGTCCATTACACACACTAGGAACCTGAAAAGCTTCCGTCCATTTCCTTCCTTCTCATCTACTAATTTCCCATTATTTATTTACTCAGTAAATTCCCCAATACGACAACGCGCACCTTAATTCCCTTCACGTCCACCTCGTCTCAATCTCCAACTCATTCCCCTCCTCTGTTACCACAACAGTCACCACAACGACGCCGTTCCGTAAGCTTCTAAAAACCGCAACTCCGAACTCCATTCACATTTCACAGACACAGATTCTCTCCACTTCCCAATCCTTTCTCCGTTTCCTTTTCCCTTTTCTAGCACTTTTATTCCGCGTGTGCGATATTTATTATAATAGTCACACTGATGGCGACGCCGATTAATCTTTATCCATTCCGTTTAAGCAATCAATGAGGCGTCCATTTCACTTACGTGGATTTCCAATCCCGGTTCTTCCCAAATCCAAACTATTAGTCTCCGCTTTGTTACGAAACTCTATCAATCCGAATCCATTGCGTTTTTCTTCGGTATTCCTCTCGTGCCTGAAAACCAAGTCCAGACAAAAGAGCAAAACAACGGAGTAGTTAGCGCGCGCTAATTCTAGATCTCGCTTTTTTAATTAACCTTTTCCTAAGAGAATCAGAATCCGAGAAAAGAACACGATTCCTTTCTTCTATTTGAAAGATGAACCTCGCCGTGGCGTTCGCATTCGTGTTTCTAACTACGGTGGCGCCATGGCGCGTTCGCTCGCAGGAACAGAGGCTTCTCGTGAACATGACGCTGGTTCCGAACGCTCGTGCTAGCCGTGCTCGTAAGTTCATTATTATTGTTATTATTTTTTTCTTCGTTTCATGATTAGTTAAGTAATTATTTTGTATTATTATCATTATTATTATTATTATTATTATTATCATTATCATTATTATTATTTATTAAAATTTGTAGTTTGTTTGGACGGAAGTTTACCGGCGTATCATTTGCACAGAGGATTTGGAGCTGGCCAAGACAACTGGCTTCTACAATTCGAGGTATGATGAACTTTCTCTTTCAAAATAAGATTGAAAAATAAATTAAAACATGGCCATGTGCATATAGTAATATATAATTATACATGATATATGATATATGATAGGTCATGTTATGTATGAGATGTTTGGATCTTGCGAGTGTTAAAAAATAGAGTGCAGAGTGTTGTCTTGTGGTAGCGTTTGAAAAAGTGGCGATAGTGTTTTCTTTTCTGGTTTTGGGGGAGAGGAGCGCGATGATTGCCTGATTGGTTTGGCTTCGAAACGCCACACGACAGTACTCTTTGTCGTCCGCCTAGAGTTTTGCGCGCGCAATGCTTTGGGTTTGGGGAACTGGAATCTGCTGTTTCACTACACAGTGCGGACGACATGATCTATGATGACGTGGTCGTTCTTTATCACCCTTTATCTCTACAAAATTTGATAATTTTAAATAATTTTTATTGATTTAATTGTTAAATTAAAGTTATTTATTATTTACATAAAAGTTTGAAAAAAATTATGAATAATACATATAATCAAATGTTTCTTTATTGTATCGATAAAAGTTATATATATTACGTTAATTTAATATGTAATAAAAATGGCAAATGATTTATGCTATCAATATACAGAGGCGGACTTAAGATTTTTAGTTAATGAGATAATTTATTTAAAAATAACTATTATTATATATGTAAAAATAAAATCATAACTATTACATGAAAAAAATATTTATTAGAAATGAAAAGTGAGTCAAAGAGGGACTAAAATATAAAACACAAGCTAATCAATAAAAATTTAACAAAATGATAAGAATGAAAAAATTTAAGCATTGAATTCATATTATAAATTTAGAGGGTCGAAAAAAAAAAATACTAATATAAAACATATACTTATGTTATTCTTAAAGTCAGGAAGTGTATTTGTACTCCTGAAATACACATAGCACCACCACTGTTAATATATGTGTTTTTCTTCTAATAATATTTATATTTTCATTAAATAATTAACAATTATTTTCTAGAATTTAACTAGTACAATTTTTACTTAAAAAGTTAATTACCATGTTATAAAACTAAAATATGAATTAATGTGGACACATTTAATTGATAGCTATCTTCTTAAGGTAAATAATTCAATATCAATTATTTATTTTAATAATATGTTTATTGAATAGAAATAATCTTACATGAGTTAGTTATAAATAAAGATGACAAATAAATTTGTATTTATAATTGTAGATAATATCTGAATTCATTTTAATTTTAATAAAAAATATTTAATTTATTAAATTGGGTACGATAATAGAGATGTGTATATATTTATCTGTTTTATACTCATATTTATTTTTAATTTTTAGAAACTTAATTTTTATTTAAAATTATTTAATATTTATGTAATTTTTATTTTATTTTAAATTTATGTCAAATTAAACTTAATTAATATAATTTTATAATTATTATTCTATATTAATTTTTAAAAATATTTTTCATAAAAATATGTAATTAATTTATAGACAAATATGATATGAATATGAGTATATTTAATATTTGATAGAGATAAAAATATGAACACAGATTCTATATCCATCAAATATAAAAACGAGGGTGAATATAAAATATAAAAATAAAAATGAGAATATTAAAATTCGTAGTGGCTCCATCGTATTATTGCCATCCTTACACTGGTGACGAAGTCTTTGTCCCTTCATCTTAAAATTCATTAAATATATAGAAAATGTTTAAGTCGGGACAATATTTATTGCCTTCTATCTCTTCTCTCTTCTTTCTTTCATTTCTCTATCTTTTCTCTTGTCTCTCTTCCTTCCCTATTCCCTCACTATCTGTTCTCCATCTTTATTTTTATTTTCTTTCCTTTCTTTTTTCTCCTACAAATCTTTCATCTTTATTAATATTGACTTAAAACTACCAATTTTAAAATTATTGAAATATTTAAATTATTTTAAAAAATTACATATTATTAAAGTTATTTAAATTATTAAATATTTAAAAATTGATCAATAACCATTTTTATAAAGTGAATATTAAAATTGAAAATTTATATAATATATATTTAAAAATCAATTTTGTGTATGGTAAAAATTAAAGTATTTATCTAAACAAATAATTTAAAAATTGAAAAACTTAAATTGATTTATTTGAACACATAATTTAATGAATCATGAAAATTAAATATAAATAATTTAAATATAAATAATTTTAAATTCTCTCAAATTTAAAAATTCTTCGTTTCAAACAGAATTTTATTACCTTATATGAAATTTTGATAGTTTTGTTTATTTATTTAGATTCAAATTTCACGAGATCACGTCCCAATAATTTATGGAATAGGAATGGGATGAAACTGAAAAATTGAAGAAGTATAAAATTGAAATTAATGTGTGTATATATATATATATATATATATATATAATTGAAGTATAAAATTAAAATTAAATGTATTAATTTTAATTTTATGCTTCAAATTTTTCGATGTAGACCTATTCCAATTCATATATTATTAGGAGTGTTGTAATTAATGAAGCGTGACCAAAGGCAATAGGCATTCCACAGTCCATAAGCAATGTCTGTCTTTGGAAGCGTGGAGTTAAAGATAGACAGGATGACCCATGTAGTGTACTGTCGGAGAATAAAGTTTCATACAAAAACTTTGAATCCAAGCAAAGCAAGGGGAAATCTGAAATGATTGGATGAAATGACAAATTGGATAACATAGCAGCTAGTTGGTTCAGTTAGCTTGGAGGAGTCTAAATACCAATTGAAGAAATCCCCATGGTTCTACATTCATAAATCATTAATGATCACCATCAATTTATGGAACATGCCAGGGAGGTGGATGGTGCAACGACTTGACATCATGTTTGGAGAGAGCCAAAACTAGGAGGGGTTCTACACGTTATATGACCAAGTGGGAGGTTTTCTCTGGTATCTTAAGCAATAATGCTACCCTTAATCCAGGTAATTTAATCAACTTGTTTTTATTTTTCTTCTTTCGCATGAGAATTATTATAACTTGAATTTAAAGGTCCCTTCGTAATAATATAATATACAAATGGCTATAGTATTCAATAAAAAAAAAAGTTCTTGAAAAATGTTTCTTATATGAATATACTTTTTTTGAAAAATATTTTCATAGTGTGGATGTTTGTTTCATTGGTTTGATGGTATGTATGGGTAAATTTCTCATGAAATCTACATAAGGAAACATATACATCCTCGAAAGGACAGAGTGGTTAGTAACTTTTAATTTTTAAGTATAGCTTAGTTCATAACTTGTTGAAGCACTTTGCGTTACACATCTAGTTGGGTTCTGCTCCACCAGCTAGGGGAGGTTCCGTGAGTTGCAACGAAAGGTGCTCCACCAGGGCCCCAAAAAGGGGAAATGTATGTAGGAGGAATGGACAGTGGAGGATTGAATCGAATGATGCTCTCCACACAATACCAAGAGCTGGTGGACGCATTAGGCGCATGGTAACTACTGCATTTATATGAATTAGAGCAGAACAATTACGTGCCCTTAGGTGACTAATGAACACGGCACGCACGTAGTGTAGGTAGTGTGGGGTACTACTACTATTTAAACAGTTAGGCACGTTTGTTTCAAGGTTAAGATTTTATTTTTTGGTATATTTTGAAAATATGTTCGCATATATTCTAATATTTCTAAGTATATTCTTTAAAATTTAAAACTTATTTAAATAAAAAATAATTAAAAAGGAAAGTTATAAGTTTGCTACATAACAATTTCTTTAATTTTCGGGGGAGTATCACTTTCCCACCCACCTATTATGGGAATAAAAATTCTGTGTTTCATTTGATAATATAATTTTTTTTTGTTGAAAATAAAAGAAACATGAGAATCTTATTACATAATTTTTAATATTCTAAATATTCTTACTTTTCATATTCCTGAATAGAAGGTGACATGAAAAAAACACTCTTTTAATTTTAAATATTTTGGCTTTTTTTTTCCACATTATTTATTATTATTATTTTTTATTTTCAATCTGTCTTTGTTTTACCCATTTCATAATTTACAAAAATAAATGTGAGAAATATTATCTTAATTTTAAAAATTATTTGATTTGACTTTTTATTTTTGAAAAACTTTCTTGAATAGACTCAATAAAATAGAAAATTTATTCATAGTATGATTTTTAACATTAATTGATTACATTATTCATGTTATATTTTGATAATTATGAAAGCAAATAGAGTTGGTCTAGTGATACAAATTAGGATAATATGCACATAAGCATTTTAAATTTAAATTTTGGTGTTGTTATTGTAATTCTAATATATCAATTTTTTAATAATAATTAATGAATATTTTTATGCAATGTAGAAATACTTTTAAAGTCAATTAGAATTTTAAAACATGTCGAAAATTTATAAAATTTTAAAAATAAAGGATAATATACGTAAATCTTATGTACAATATTGAAAATGTCTGTTAAAAGATAAAAATATTTAAGATTATAAAATACACATAAATAATTAAAAATAAATAATAATAATAATAATAATAATACATGTCATTCTAAAAAATAATTAGAGGAAAATGCACTAGGAGATCAAGTCATTTTAAAAACATTTTAAATTAATATATAATTAAAGATAGACTGTTATCGATCATATCTACGTTTTCTCGTAAAGTATAGTATTTGTATCTTTTGAAATTTTATTTCAATTATTTAACAACTATACTGAATACATAATTGTTCTGGAGGAAACACACGCACAATTCGTTTTAAAATTGGAATCAATATAATGATAAACGATTAAATGTTATCACATCATCAAATAAAATTTATTCACTTGTTTTTTTGTGACAATATATTTTTGTGAGAAGAGTTCTCACCCTTTTGTTCTCTTGTTTATTAAATGAGAATGTATATGCATATCTATCTTTAAATTTTAGTGACTATTACATAAATAGTTGATAGTTTATTTTAAAAGGTTAAACTAGTGTTTCTTGTATTTTTGTATATCATATTTACTTATTTTGTGCATATCTTATTACATCAGATATGATATTCTTACACATACTCCTATATATGCTACATACCTTTTAATTCCCTTCCATCCTTTTTTTTATTACCTATAAAAAAATCCATTATTTTTTACTAATAAACAAAAAATATTAATAATTGGTAATTTTTTTGAGAGGTTAATAATTGGTCTTTAATTATCATACAGTAATTATCATTTTAATCAATTAGGTCTTTAAATTATTCTAATTACTTATCACGGCGTCAGCAGATGGCATTTAAAATATTTAAGTACTAGAATCATAAAAAAATTTAAAAAAATCAAGTACCGGTAGATGTAAGAAATGAGTGAGGAACAAGGGAGAGATGTAAGAAATAAGTAGAAAATTTTAATAGCGAAAAAATAGAGGAAACGAGAAATAAAAAGAAGTGGAGCCCAAATATAATAATTTTCTGAACGTGAAGAAATGGTAAAGAAATAGTGCACCATTTAATCGATTATACAATGTATTTTTTTTTTTCGTTCCTAGAGCATCCATCATCGATAGCAGTGACTTATCTCCCATCTATGTTAGAGGCACCTCAAATACTTAATCATACAATGTATTTAATCAAGTAGATGCAATTTTCATTTTGCTTTCATTTGTTTTACATAATTTAATCAATTATTTAATTTAAAATTGATTTTAATTTATATTTAATTATCTCTTTTTAATTTTTTTATTTCTCTTAAATCAAATACTTTTATTATCACTTTATTTGTGACTTTTTTTTTCCTTTTTACCAAACGAGCGTAAATTATTCAATTTCATACTCACTACCTCAGACTCGGGTAGAGGGCATTTTTTTCTACATTAGTAACATCATATGTGGTATTTAGGCGACACCAATTAGCTCTCTCACTCTACTTTTGGGTTGGTTTGAATTCGGGTAGAAATAAAAAAGGAATGAGTAGAAATAAGATAATAAAAATAACTTTAGAGATTTGTTTGATAAAAAATAAAGAAATAAAAAATTAAAAAATGATAAATCTTACTTATTTTATTTTATATATATACATTATTTACTTATTTCTTTTTAATTAAATAACTAAATTTTCATTTTATTTCCATTTATTTTAACTAAGTATTTCTTTGTTCACTATCAAATACAAGTTTGGTGTCGCAGTGGTCCTTAAAAACACAGCTGTCTTTCGAGTTTAAAATCTAGCGATTCATTGAAAAATAGGCAATCCAGTTGTACACAATGTAGCTCCACAGCAGCGTCATGTTCCTCCTGATTCCCTTTCACGGATTCTTGTCTCCTGGTTATTATTGTTCTTCCTTTTTTCACTTGGGAGTTGGAAGTGTTCAGTAGGAGTCCCATGAATTTTTTTTGACCTATATTCATTTATTTTTATAAAAAAGTATATCAATAAATTTAGTTTAAAATATTTTTAAAAACTAATATTATAATTTATTGAAATGTTTTTTTTAAATATAAATTATTTTAAGTTAAAATCCCACATATATTTATTTATTTATTTCTGATTTCATTTTCTTCGTCCCTACATCGTTTTCTCCTTCAATTCAGCTGTCGGTGGACAGTGGACATATCATGTTTCTAAAATGCTAATCTAAATTATTTGGCATGATATGAGCATCATGTGAACTAAGAAATCAGGTGCTCAGATCCGTTATCCTCTCTTGTTAATTTATGAAAAGTATGCAGAATGAAAAATAATTTTTTTTTACTGTAAACAGAACAAATAAAAAATAAATATTAATTATGTTTTATCAATAAAAAATTACAATAATAATAACAATGTGGACATTAAAACTAAGAAAAGTGAAAAAAAAAAGTTTTAGTCGTTAATTATCGGAATTACAGTTGATTCATATTGAAAAAGTTCATAGATTTATCTCATATATTTTTATTGATTAAAAATTATTAAAAATTACAAATCATGAAAAATTTATTAAATAAAATATGAGACTTATTAATATTTTATAATTTTTAATAAGATTTATCTAATAAAAGAGGATTTTCAAATATTACTAAATGAGAATATTTCTTTTATAATTATAAAAAATATGAATTTATTTTCAAATATTACTATTATTAATTATTTTTATATCTTTAATTTTATTATGAAGTATATTAATGAAACATTCATTCATTGCCAATAAGGTGTATGTATTTATTAATTATTAACAAAATATGAGTAACACTATTGGTTAAAAAAATTAGTCCTTGAATTTAACCAAAATCATTAAATATAAGTACTACAACTTAAATTATTTAATTTTGAGTATTTTTTTAAATCAACTTTAAATTATGATACTATCAATTAAAAATGTTTAGCTATTTTTTTTTATGTTGATAAATTAAAGTATTTATTTGTTGTATATTGGATGGATGGTAGTTGCATTTTAGTCGTATATAATTTTTTTTAATTTATTTAAATAATTTACTTTTGAAATCTTTGTCGTGACAGTAAAGTTTAAGCAATTAGAATACTAGTAACTTTTTTTTGGCGAATATAATGTATAGAAGGAAGTATATTTTTTAATCTTATTTTTCTCCCTTAGACTTTGTCTTTTTGAATGTCGCGGTATATATCTATATATATATATATATTTTTTTTTTCTTTCTTTTTTCTCATTAAGTTCTTGTGTTTGTCCGTGAATTGTATCAGATTTTTACAATTGGAACCGTGTGAAGCTGAGATATTGTGATGGAGCTTCATTTACCGGAGACGCTGTGTTCAGTAACAGGGTAATTTTTACAACGCCTCTCCCCAAACAAAGGAATTAAAAAAGATAGAAGGATGCATGATAAATCGTTGGCTATGAAATTAAGACATTCTGGTTGTCTTGTATACGTTCATCATAAATAGGCTAAATCATTCCTCTAACCCAAAATTACAGTAAAATCAGGAGGGTGGTTCAAGGCTTCAGGTAAAATCAGAACGAATACCGATTTTTAAAAGGAAAAACAAGAACTAAGTTTCATTACTTGAATTTTAAATAATTGATATTATATTTAACACTATAAGTAATTATTTTTAAGCTTTAGTATCTTTTTAATCTATATAAAATAATTAATTTTGATTTTAGTCTTTATAAATTTTTATTTTATTTTATTTTTAATTTTTAAACAATATAAAATCATTGTTTGTTAGGTTCTTGTTTATGGTGCCATGTGAAAACGTTACGCTGTTAATTTTTTTTCTTCTAGATTTTTAAATTAAATATTATTTATTTATCTTAAAATAAACGTTAATTTATAACTAAGAACAATGATTTTAATTTTTGAAAGGATAAAAGTTAAAGAAAAATTTCTAGAGATTAAAATTAAAATTTATTTATTTTATAATATATATATTTTTTAAATTAGCTTAATTAAAATTTATCACGTGAGGATTGAGTTTTTTTATCAATATATTCTTATACAATCAAAAGTTCTAACAAAAGTAGCTTTTGTTGAAAAAAAAAAATTCAAAGAAAAATTACAGTAAAATGAGGGTATTGGTTAATTTACTTTACGGGCTTTTAGTGTTTCATCAACATTGTCATGTGTCGAAACCAAGTTTGATACATAAAGTAACTCTTCCTGTTTGTGAGATGAACAATAGACAACAACACTTTATTTCAAAGGTCAGAAGATTTGGGAAGCCATTATTCGCGACCTTCTACCACAAGGTTTGGGAAAGGCACGAAAGGTATTGGATTCGCCTCCATGGACTATATATGGAGTTTGTTTTCATTTATTCTCTCAAGTTAAAATTAAACACAAGTTCAGGTCAACAAATTATATTATATGATGTAAACAAAATTTATAATACATGCTATTTCGTGTGTAGGCTTTACTTTCAGGTTGCTCAGCTGGAGGTTTAGCAACCTTTCACCATTGTGACGACTTTGCCAAGTATTTGCCAAAGAATGCTAGTGTTAAATGCTTGAGTGATGCCGGGTTTTTTCTTGACGAGTATGTTTAGTCTATCTTGATCTTTTCAACATAATCATAAATTGACAATATCCAGCTTTATTTCTTCAAAATCCAAGTATTAACGTTTCTTTTTATCTTCCCTTTTGCAGAAGAGACATTAGTTTAAACCACACTATGAGGTATTTCGTCAAAAGTCTAGTTCAATTGCAGGTAACTTCCAATAAATGCGTCATGCATACGTACTTGTCTTTTAAAAATAGCAAAGGCTAAAAATGGATATAGTGTGCTTTCGAAAAGAGAATTGAAATCATAAATGACTGGCGGGTATGTGCATTTAGATATCAGATTTTCATTTGATATAGATGATTATTAGACGGTACGCAACATATGAATTATTAAAAGTAAAAGCAAGTTGCACTCTTGAGAAATCAACATTAATGCCATGATTTCAACACAAATGCAACATATTTTCATGAAGTTTGTCAACTCAACTGTGTGAACTGTATTTGATGTCAAAGATACAGTGTCACCAAAAATAACTCGAAACAAATGAAGAAAGAGCTCCATGAAACTCGGAATTAACCTTTTGTGAAGATGTGAATGCCACCTAGGGGAAAGATAAACTATAAAATCATGATATAACACATGAACGAGATAGGGAACCCACCTAAAATGTTAAACGAAGTTGTGTAGTTGCTATATTTCTTCACTTTTACGATTTATAACTTTTAGTCAAACTTCATTCTCCTCGTCCCTTCATTTTCATATTTTTGAACTTGAAGCTTTAGTTAAGGAACCACTATTAAGATTTCTACTAATAATACACCTTGATGAATGGCTCCCTTTCGTAGTTGATATCACTTCCATAGAGTCCAACGTATTACATACTTTTCATAACACAGCTTGATTACTTCTATTAAATTCTAATTGAGTTTAGGGAGAGGGACAGGTTTATATCCCATATTTTATAGGCAGCAAATAGCAAAGCAAAGTAACTGGTTAGGTAAAGAAGTCTTGATGAAAATAAAATCTTAGTGCTCAAGATATTATTAACATTAGAAAATAATGATTAGATATTTCTTATTCATTGCTTGTAATTGTTCACAACAGTATCTTATAAAATAGAAAAAAGGAGTCCACATGTTTTTATTTTCTATGTTCAATATTCAATTTTAAAATTTCATAACAAAGAGAAAAGAGTGTGTAGCATTGAATGCGGTTTTACATGACAAAGTCTTGTGCAACAGGGGATAGAACAGAACCTGAATAGAAACTGTACCAGAGCACTGTACTTTCCAGACTTGGTATGATTCCCATGAACTTGCACCACTGGCTTAGGAAAAATTATACAAGATTTTGACGTTGGTCATGTTTTCATGCAGTGCTTCTTTCCACAATATGCATTGAGATACATATCAACACCATATTTTATCTTAAACTCTGCCTATGATGTATACCAAGTAATGTTTTTTTATTGCACATTTAGCTTCCTATATTGCATATTATCTTAAGTCACATAATTATCGAATTATGAGATGAATAAAACTTATAATGTCAACAGTTCCATCATATATTGGTGCCACCCTCTGCTGATATGCATGGTCACTGGAACCGTTGCAAGCTAAACCCTGCGGAATGCACACCTGCACAAATCAATACATTGCAAGGTTGCCATTTTAAGTTTTTTCTCAGCAGTTTATTGAATATCTTTCACCCATTCTATCTTTAAAGGTTTTAGTGTTTATAAACATGTTAGTATTTTGTGCAAGAAATATCCTTTAAGTAGTTTACGATTTTACTCCACACGTGTTGAAAACTGATCCTTCTTGATGTAAATAAAACTGATTTTGGTAATGCGCTTTATTCAGGTTTTAGGCTCCACATGCTTGCGGCTTTGAGACCGTTCTATATGAATTCAAGAATAGGGGGGATGTTCATAAATTCATGTTTTGCTCATTGCCAAAGTGAACTGCAAGAAACATGGTTTGGGGCTGATTCTCCAACAATAAACGAGAAGGTACCGATCTTACTCATTGACAGTGAGTCAGTGACAATGATGATAAACCTGTTTATACTTCACATTGTGTGAAGTTTTAAGTTTTAACTACTTTATCAGGCGAATTGTGCAACAAAGTAACTGAATCCTAATGATCGATTGTACTCCATGGGCATACTATATGAAAAGGAATTTACATATATAAGATCTTTGAAGTATGTGGCAATATTGTCATTTTGTTGTTTGACGTTTCATCCTCTGACCTAAATTTGTAGCATACACTTAAAAAGGAAGTGATCTTTGTACTTTCGGAACTGTGAAATTGTAGTCAACGATGTGTTAAACTACGTTATCTTTTACAGACTATTGCAGAAGCGGTTGGCGATTGGTATTTTAGTAGAGACAGAACCAAGAAAATAGACTGTGCATATCCGTGTGATGCAACTTGTCATAATCTTATTCCATAAGTTCAGGTAATGCCTTTTATAAAATTATGAACTAGTTCTCTTAGGTATCTTGGTGACCTTTTAGCTCCATTGTTTGTCTGACTCAATTTGAAATGTTGCAGGACAGTTAGAAGATTAAACTCAACATTTTTCCTCAAGCTTCTCTATTTCTCATAGAAAAGCTCTTATAGTTCTCTGAAAAGGGATTAAGAAGGATTTTACGTAGAAAGCCATACAAGTACACAGTGAAAGCTAGGTAGATACAAGATTCTTTGATAGGAAGAAAAGGTGATAAAGAAATCAATAGAGAAATGTGGTTTTAATGATTTCAATTATTTTTCATTCATTACAATATTTTTTTTTACTTAATAAAATTAATTGAATTTCCCTATCTTTTGTCTTATGTGTATGTGTGTCATATCTTGAACCTTGATACATGTTATCAGTCCCATCTATCTACCCTCTCCCTTTGTTGTTTTTATCCTCGTACTAGCATATCATAACTCAATAACAATGAATATCTACATGTAAATCGTAAGAAAAGGAGTGAAATTAAATTTGTATGAAGGAAGATATATTTTTCTTTACTTATTAAATTGTGAGAGTTATATGAAGTTTATAAAAGTAATCAAATTGTATATTAGGACATTAAATTTATACCAATTCATCATTTAATTTAAAAACTTATTAAATAAAAAAATTTAGAAATGAAAAATTTGTCCTCGCTTACTTTGGCTTAATACATTTGTTAGTTTTATTATTATTATTATTATTATTATTATTCTTATTTTTAAATAAGTTTTTAAAGTAAAAGATTTGTAATTGAATCCTTAATCTTTTCAAACTTTTGTAATCTCATGTCTTTGGGTCCTGGGGGTTAATGATATGTCATAAATGGTTAGCTTACACTTAAAGACTTAATTACAAAAATTGAAAAAGATTTAGAATTTAGTTAAAAAAAAAGTCAAATAATTTAATATGAAAAAATTTGTATAATAATTTTTTTTTAATTTTTTTTGAAATAAAAAATATATATTTTAAATAATTACATATAGATTAGTAAAACAAAACAAAAATAGTAAAATTATAACTCTTTCAAAAAAATTAGAGTTGTCAAAATTAGTTTGGTGGATAAGTGAGGCTAGAATTTTTATTTTGACGGTTAACAAAAGACTAATTTTTATTTTGATTTAATGGGCCAAATTAGATTGTAAAAAGGTTGACTAAAGAGTTAATTACCCTATCCAATTTAGGAAATTATAAATTTATGTAAAAAGAGAAATATAAAAATGCGTTTATTTGGCCAAATCTATCAAACCAGATAGGAAAAAATAGTGAATTATATGAAAATTGATTCAACTTGCTTTTCAAACTTTGATTTATTAGATTGATCCGAGTCAAGAGCTCCATTTTGACAATTTTATTAAAAATACTGTCTTTAAATGCCATATATTCCTTCTAATCAAATTCTAATTCTCTCTCTCTCTCTCTTATTTATATATATATATATATATATTAAGTGTGTGTTATTGTATAAGATGACTAAACAAAGAGAAACTTTGGAAGGAGATATATAGGGTGGGCAAATTACGCAACATGTCTTTTAATATTAAGTTTGTATTTAGAGATAATATATTTATACGTCCTTAAACTTTTTGAATTCACTTAAATAAATCTCTAAAAAATTAATAATTAGCTCTTTAATCTTTTCTATTTTTTTGTAAATAGATTTGTCGGGCCAGGAGTGAATAAAAATATTCTATCAAAATTAATAGTTCCTATACAAATTACTAATCCTAAGACCTAATTATAAAAATTAGAAAATTTAAAGACATAATTACATTTTTTTATAGTTTAGATATTTGTTTGAAAGAATTCCAGAGAAAAGGGCTACAATGTAAAAATAAAAAAAATGTTTTTCTTTTTCTTAAAAAAAATATAAAAAACATGAATCCTAAAAATAAAAAATATTGAATTAAATTATAACTTTAATAATGTGTATAATTTCAATTTTATTATTAAATAATTATTATAATTTAAGTTATTTAGTTATTAACAATTAATACGGAATTATAATAATTACAAAAATATATCCTGAATAATGATTATAATAACAATTAAAATTAGTAGAAAATAAAAAATTAACGTTATATTTCTCAAAGAGAAATACGTAAACGAGGAAAGTGTTTGGTCGGAGAGTCAAACCAAGAGTATAAATACAACTCTTTCGTGTGAGGTGTGACCACTGTCTATGTTCTGATTTTGTTTTTCTGTTTTTCCCCTAACGATGCTTCTGCGAATTTCTTCATGGTGCTTCTCACCCGATTCTTCTGCTCATTTCACACCATTATTTTGAGGGCGATAGAGGATTCCATTTTGTCGTGTGAATCGATACCGTTTTCGATTTCTTTTAACTAATCTTTTAGTAACATAGCATTACTTCTTGATTTCGGAATTTTAAAAAGTATAAATTTCTTGCATATCTTTTTCAAGACACGTTCACTCTTTTACGACAAGAACAAGAAAGATGGATAAAAAAGAAGAAAGAAAATCAAGAAACAGCTTCGTACACGGTTGCTGCATCATGGCTTCTTCATTCGGATAAGGGGTTCACAGCTTTTTGGGGTTTTGGAAAGGTGCGTGGCAGATGCTATATTCGAAGGAAAGGTTGATCTTCATAACGATGCGTGACATTCTGTGATCCCAAGAAAAGTTTGATGCCGTTTGTGGGTGATGTCACTGCATTTGCATTTCTTTGCATTCTTATGTCCTTTCTGCCATATTTATTATAATTCAAATTTCAAAATTAAAAGTAATTGTCTGTTTTGCATCATTTTTTCCAGCCATCACCCATGACGATACACTGATTTGAAAAGTTCTCACCAATGAACAAGATGCAAAATACATTCCTTATTGGTAATTTTAAATTAGTACATTAGCCCCCTCTTCTCTTAAAAACAAAAAATAATGATCCATTTGTTGGATCTCAAACTAAATGTAACTGTAATAAATCTAAAATACTCGAGAAGTATAATCACAATAACAAGATCGATCTCGTTGCTTAATTTTTTTTTCTTTATTAAAATTAATATTTCGTCTTGGTACGTTCATCTCTGATGTAAATCTTGTGTTTCTTGTTGTAATAATACTCTGTAACGAAGTTATACTGTGGTAAGGAGTTGTGGAATGGAGGGTACTAGAGTGTAGTAGCACTGGTACGTGAGGTTTGGAATGTTCTGCTTCTTCATCACTACTGAATAAGCTTCTTCTAACAAATATACAAAATCTCAGTTCAGCAAAACAAAGTACGGCTACAAGGGGAGTTATTTCTTACATTCTTACACTAGGCACAAGACTGCAATTTCTCAAGGAAAACAATATCCGGGAAAAATCCATTTTGGAAACTGAATTTAGAAAGTAAAATTTTATTAATTTCTGAAACTAAATAATTATCAAATAAATATTTAAAATATTAAATTTTTTAAATTTAACCACTTAATGTTATTTTCATCTATAAATATATATTAATATTAACAATTTAATTACACATTTAATTGAATTTTAGATCAATATAACTAATAATTTAACTTGCGCATTATACATGTATGTTTATTATATATATATAATTAAATTCTATAATACATTATATATAAATAGATATTTTTAAACATATAAATTATATTTAAGATTTATGATAAATAATTTATATTATAGTAAAAAAAATTATTTTTATTTATTTATAATTTATTTAAAATATGAATATTTAATTTATAAATAATTATGATAAATAAAAATTAGATTAAATAAGAAGTTAAGAAAATTTATAAAAATTCATTCATTAAAAAAAAAGTTTCTAAAAATACTATATGTAAAATAAAATTTTGTATTTAATATATAAAGTTAATTTATATTTATGTTTTTGAAAATTTATTTTATGATTTCTTAATTTCATTAAGTAATCAAACAAACATGTTCCGAATTCAAAGACAAAAAAAGATTCTTGTTTACCCAAACATTATATGGCACCACTCAAATCACATCTACCTATCGTATCTATGATGAGTCCTTGAACTCCTCAACTCAATACGAACACGAACACGAACACGAACACGAACACCATTCACCCACCACCACCTTTTCTCTCGAAATTACCAAAACACCATTCACCACGTTATGCATAACCACCACACGCTCTTACTCAGACTCTCCACGCTACCCTCTCGCTCTCTTCACCCCACAACAAAGACAAAGCTCAACAACAAGAGAAGCAAACACACTCCCACTTCCTCCTTCAGAAGAACCAATTGGATTGTTCCCAAGGCAATGCATTGCACTTCTCGCTGTGGCGACAACTACGATGAAATCGACAACACCACCAACAACAACGGTGTCACTTTCCGCAACCCCAAGCTGAACGAGTCAACGTTCCTGGCTTCTCTCATGCCCAAGACGGAGATTGGCGCCGACCGTTTCCTCCATTCTCACCCACACTACGATGGACGCGGTGTTGTCATCGCTATCTTCGGTACCCATTTCATAAAGCTCCTCTTTTTTACTAGATATTCAACATGGGTTGGTGTTGGTGTTCTATTGAGAAAAACTCAAGTTACACATTCACTAGAGATAAGGCTAACAAAGAATAAATAAGTGGAGAGTAATTCTCACTTAAGAATTGCTTTTGTTGGATTCAGTTAGGCTCAAACCCATGTCCTAAGATGTTTCAATTTGAGTTCTGGCTGGACGGGGCAAATAGATGAAGAAATTTTGGTGGTTGTGTTTGAATTAATGGTTTTGTAGGGAGATAAGGAAATGTGAGTGTTGTCCATTATTTTCAGGTTAAAGGAGACTGGAAAAGTTAGTGTCTTTAGCTTCATGGATGTGAATATACTTGTTGGGCGTTGGCAACTTGGAATGTGTTGTTGGTTTGATTATTAAACTATGCCTGTTTTCGTTGCATCTTGCATGTTTAGTGATCAAATTTGGGGACTTGGTTGGAGTCTGAATCCAAGTGGTGATCTTTCATTAGGTTTGGATGGGTTAGGTTTTGTGATATGATTGATGCTGTGTTCCCAAAAGATGGTTGTGTTGAAGGTATATTGATATAAGCGAAAATGTTTGACAACGTGAACTTTTAATTATTGGATGTCATTGTATAAGTGTGATATATATTTTTTTTTTGGAAAGGATCACGAAAAACTTTAATTATAAGCAAAAACACTCACAAAAAATAAAAGAGATCAGTTTCCTTTTTGAAATTTCTTGTAAGATTGCTGTTCATTAGAGTCTTCCATAAAACTGACCTTCCTTTTTATTGACTATATTTTTTTCATGGATGGAATTTTCACCACGTAGTTCTGTCACTGGCATAGTGCTGATCTAATTTGTTTCTTTCAAAAAGTTCCACTGCTAATTGGTACTGCTGTACTGGTTCATATGATAAATTAGTTTAATCACAAGAGCTGCATGCTTTCAGATTCTGGG